GGCCGAAGGTGCACCTGACCCGACCAAGCCCATGGTATTTCCCATTGCCTCATTCCCTCCCATGCATGTGGAAGTTGGACATTGAATAAGGAAGTCTGAAGATGAATCCATGCATTTGATTTGTGCTAGGGAAGAATATAGAAAGTACCATGGACTACCAAAGGAAACGAACAAATCAGTCTTAAAAGTATAGCCAGAAGGAGAATAGATGAAGTAGCTTCAAAGAGTTTGTGGAAAGGCTCACTATCTTTTAATTCCATGTTTCCATGACCTTTTTGAAGCCCCTTATATTTTCTATCAATGATGTTATGCACCCAGCATTGAAGACCATCTCTGGTGCAAACTAACTGGATTAAGTCCTGTGATCTTATTTAATAGTGATTTTCTCCTCGAACAGGTGGTCTGGGTATTAATAGGCATTTAACTAGCTCTTATTCCTTCTACTCTTTGCTCAGAAGCCCTCGTGTGTATACTGTGATCACCTGTGAACCTCTTACCAGTTATCAATCCACGCTTGCTATGTCGCTATTTTAAAATGCATTCTTCAGGTTTATCTATTTCAAATATCATCCTGGTTTTCACAACTATTTCATTTTATTTTCTGTTAAAAGATACTAATTGCTTGTAACTAACAAGTGGGCATTAGTATTTTAATAAATAGCTATTTGTGACACTTAAATAACACCTGAGCTCAGGCCACTGTGAACAACTCTAGCTGATCCCCTTTGGCAAATAGCGTTTAAAGCATTTTGAAATGTATATTTCATTGTTACTACACTGCGCTCCGATTTGTTCCTCACCTCCCCGCAGCCCTTCTGCAAGGGGATGTCCAATTTCCCCTGGATGGGCCCTGGGTCCCCACTCTGCACTCCCCCTCATTCACAATGTTATGATTTTCTTTTTTTGTCTTTGATGCCTGATACCTGACCCTTTCACTGCTTTGTCATCTTACAGGCTGGTGTGCTTCTTTCATGTGGGCTTTGTTGTTTCTCAGTTAGATGGTCCCTTGTTTATCTTCCAGCATGTGGGACCCTAGATTCTGTGTAATTTGACAGCTTGGCACCATCAGCTTTCTTCACCGCATTTGCTTATGTACCTGCTTTGTCTTCAGCATTCGTGTGGGGTAGGCTGGTGTGCTTCTTCCTTGTGGGTTTTGTTATTTCTTAGCTAGATGGCCATCTGTTTGTCTTCAACTCTGTAAGACCCCAGATGCTATATCATGCTGTATCTGCTTTCTTCCCCACTTTTGCTAATGCACCCCCTATGTCCTCAGCAATTGAGTAGGGGTAGGCTGATGTGCTTAATGCAAGAACATTTATTTTTTTAAAGAGTGGGTTTTTAAAAAAATCATTTTATTAGGGGCTCATACAACTCTTATCACAATCCATACATACATCAATTGTGTAAAACACATTTGTACATTCATTGCCCTCATCATTCTCAAGACATTTCCTCCCCACTTAAGCCCCC